GTTCTGATGCTGGAGAGACTCCCCCATTCCTGTTACCTTCCTTCCCTCATCCTTTCCCATCTGAGATACTAATTTGGTCTCCCTTGCTTAATCCTGGAATTGCAGGTCCATTTTATGAGCGGCAGAGGTGACTGAGGAAACCCTTCAAACTGCAGTGGAGAAGAGGCTCCCCACACTCCCCCTTCCTTAAAAATCCTGCAGAGGAAGGGGGAAAGAAAACCAAAGCATTCTGTCGCCGCGGCAACCATAAAACCCCCAGCTAAATCCATCTTGTGAGCTCACCGCCCCATTAAGATGCAGGGCCAGGCGCTGCGCCAGCCCAGCCACATTCATTTGTGCGAATAAAGGTGGAGGAGGGGGAGGGGAGCAGGCTCTGGAGGGACGGGGAAATGGCGAGAAGAGGTTATTTACACCACCGTCCTGACCTTCTGGAGCAGCGCTGGCTCCGATAAATAACCCGCTCAGCGCCGTTTCAGAGCAGGAGTGGAAGGTGCAGGAAGGGAGCAAGGGCTGGAGGAGAGCCCCCACGCAGGTGCGCGTCTCTGGGTTACTAATGGCTGAGGCGGGAGCAGGCAGCTGGCTTTGGGGGTGGTGGGGGAAGAACTCAGTTCCCTGGGACTCCCACTGAGAAAATACCATCCCCACCCCACCCCTGGCGCCAATTTCCAGGCGAGGGGACGGAGAGATGCCAAGGAGGCAAACAGCCCCGTAAATTAGGGATGGGGGGGCACTGCTATAGAGTCTCTGAGGTACGAGGGAAGAAATATTGTAAGATGGGGAATGAGGGGGTGCTGGAAGAACAGGAGTAGCTGCCAAAAAGAGAGGAAGAGAAACAGAAACATCACACAAAGGCAGTTTTGAAAAAATGTTTTATTCCTCTTTGCACAGAGCAGTTTATGAAGGTGGCTATCTCCTGACTCCATGCATCTTTTACACAAAGATGCCCCCTCAAATATGCCCAGTTATCTGCCCCACTTCAGTGTTGGAGAACTGGCAGTTAGTAAGTGGGGCAGAATGCTTAAGTCTCAGGAAGGTTTTTAAAGACATTTTTGTGGGGAGGAAGTTCTGGGTCAAGGGGAAAGATTAGACCCAAGAGTGAGTATTCCATTCTCCATCTTCCTGGGGAAATCCAAATCCCAAAGGTTTTATGAAGAAAAGCACCTCTCTCAGCGACCTAGAGACAGGGAGAGCACAGACGCACTGTTTGGGTGTAAGGCTGAAGCAGAGAGAGGGTGGGCTGCAGCGAATGTAGACCGAAGGCAGAGGAGTAAATGCATGTCGGGGAGTTGAGGGAACAGAGACAGCCTAGACGCCCAAGTCATAAGTTCTACTCCTTCCCCAGTTCTGAGTAGAAAGTTTTCTTCCCAAGACTAGAATGGAGTTTTAGTTTTAGGAACTGGCTTTGCTTCAGGACACAGAGAAGACAAACCAGGCAAAGATCCCACAGGTAGTAAGGGTGGAGAGTTAAGGTAGCTAATTAAGAGACGGGCACTCACCACGGCAGTTTTGAAGCTATATGCCAGATCGGGGTAGAGAATGCATTTTATGTGCCCTATTCAATACAATTTAAATCACTGTTTCTTCCATGTTGTCCCTTCCCTATGAACTACTCCCAATACCTTTTCCAAGGCAGAGGACAGGGCAGTAAGAAGGAATGGAAGAAAACACTGAGGTCAGTAAGTGGGGCTAGGGCTTAGATTGGATAAATCCCTACCCATGCCCACCCCCACTCGTTCTATAGTAAAGAATTCTCTTTCTCCCTCCCCTTGCTGGGGTGTCAGGATGAGGTCCAGGTAAAGGCAAAGGCAGGAAAACATTCAGCACATTCTTTCTCCTACTTTAATCTGAAGTGTAGCTACAACAAAGAGCACAGAATTTACAAAAATGTCAGGGCAGGGGAGCATGTGAGCATAATCCAGTCGAGAAAGAAAGAGGGTGCTTCCCCTGCCCTATTATCTGAATACGCTGGGAGCTTTACTCCCAGAACTGCAAGAAGAATGAAAAATAATAGGGAGGGTGTAGGGGAGGTTGGGGGGGACAACCACAAACAGAATGGAGATTTAAGGATCCCTGTGATCCCCGAGGTGACCCTGAGAGCATCGATTGGGGAACTAGATGAAAATTCACAGCAGACATGCGAATTTTTTGAAGAGGATGAAGAGCCAGGAACAGTGGGGTCTTCACCGAAGGAGTGACCACTTGATCTGTTCTTTGGCTGACTGCAGCACCTGCAGAGATAAGAGCAGCGTTGAGGAAAGCTTGCTGACAGGGCAGGGTAAGCATGAGGGCTGGGGATCTCCTTCCCCTCACTTGTCTTCCCTGTCCTTACAAGAATGGAGAATAGAAAATCCCCAAAGGTAAAGAGATGGGAAGAAGCTCTCTAAGGCCCTAGCAGATTGTTTGGAAAATTTCAAAAAAATACAAATCCACCGAGGGGGATGAAGAAAGAAGAGGTACAAAAGAAAAAAAAAAACAAAACTGGGAGTTACTGGACACATATTAAAAGGGGCGGTGGGTGAGAGACGGGTAACAAATCCAGATGGACTTCTTGGTGAGAATGCCAAGCGGGTAGAAAACAGAACCCCTCCCTTCCCCCTACATCAGGTAGACAATCTATCTGCAGTCCAGGTAGCAAGATGGATCTGCAAAACCTGCATATTCTAGAATATGCATTTCCAGCTTAGCCCTCATTTGAATAATAAGAGAAAGAGAGAGTGTGTGCACAAATGCACACAGACCATCTGCTTAAGGCAAGCCTCTGCTGGGGAATAAATCACTGAATGAGGCATCAGGCAGGGAAGGTTTGAAGGGTACAGAGCAAGGTTGACAGCCACTGTTCACAGGAAACTAAGAAAGGAGTTGGAAGTAGGGGTAGGGAGTAGCTGGCTGTATAAGTCCCAGTTCTCTGGAATAAGAGGGAGCCAAGAAAGACGTGTCTTGAGTCTCCAGTCTCACTCAGACTTGGGAGGTATGGGTGGAATGCTGTTCTAGCCTCTTTAGTGACCCAGTCCATCTGGAAAGGAAGAAGGGAGAAAGTCATACCTGAGACACGGTCTGCTCCGTAAGGGGGACATCTTCACCCTATGGCACAGAGATACAAGCATTTAGTGTGGGAGAAAGCTGGAGTAAGACCTGATTGGAGTCTGGTATTAGAGAAGAAAAAAGTAATCCTTTAAACTGAAACAAAGGGCAGATGCACTGAACTTCTCAGTCCCTTCTAGGGACTAGGACAGCTACAGTTTTACTTGGCCAGAGGGACTATGAACAAAAAAGGGTCATTTCATCCAGCTTCCATTTTAAGGCAGGAGGACTTCTTAAAAGATTTAACTCCATTCCGAGTAACCAGCAGGTTATCTGATCCTCAACTCCCTTAACTTGGGGGTGGAGGACCTGATTCTCTAGTCAGAAAAGGCCTTCTCTGAGTATCAGTATTGCTAGGGAAAGGATGAGGGGGAGCCAGGAGTGGTTTAATGGATCCCGCAAAGCCTGATGGGTAACGACAGCATGTTAATTTGAAGAAATAAACTGCTGCAACAGCAGCCTGAGAAGAGAAAGGGGGGAGTTGGTGGGGGGACCCTCTCTCTTGCCACATAGAGACATATGTTAGAGGAGAAGATTAAACTATGCAAATGGAGCCCACAGCAGTTAAGGGAGAAGATTTCCCATTACCAAGCACTGTCAGCCTTCACTCTGTGGAGGTCAGAGCCAGGACATTCTGTGAATGGGGAGAATTTGCTTTGCTCAGACATCTCTGCACCCGTATAATTTGCTTGTGGGCTCTCGGCATCCACCATTATCTCCTCAGCTGACCTGGGGCCTTCTATGGTTAACTCAGAGGCCCCTTGCTGATATCACTAGCACCAAAGAGGACTGAGGTTCTGAGGTTCTGGCAAATACATACTTCCTGATGGAGAGGCACCATCCTCAGTTATGTAACACTTTATTTATTTATTTATTTATTTTTGAGACAGAGTCTCACTCTGTCACCCAGGCTGCAGTGCAGTGGTGCAGTCTTGGCTCACTGCAACCTCCACCTCCCAGGCTCAAGCAATTCTCCTGCCTCAGCCTCCCGAGTAGCTGGGATTACAGGCACGCACCACCACGCCCAGCTAATTTTTGTATTTTTAGTAGAGACAGGGTTTCACCATGTTGGTCAGGCTGATCTCGACCTCACCTTGTGATCTACCGGCCTCCACTTCCCAAAGTGCTGGGATTACAGGTGTGAGCCACCACACCCAGTCCTATATAACACTTTAAAAGACAAAAAAGACACTCTTCTGCCTCAGATGATTGGATCCATCTCCAAGAAGGGAATAAGCCAACTTCAAGTTCCTTTATAATTTCAAAACCATAAATATTAGTTTATTTTATCACTTATTAAATAAATATGTATTAAATGTCCACTTTGTGCAAAGACTGTATGAGATGTTAGGTACCTTATTAGGGGTAGAAATAAGTTCTTTCTTCTTCTTTCTTTGGGACAATAAGAAGGGAAGGAAAGAGAAAGGCTGAATGTATTTGAAAGAAAAAGAGAAGGTTCTATGTATCCTATGAGCCCCAACTAATAGACACATCCAGCAGGTCTGGCTGTGGAGGGTGTTTGTGAATAGATGCGGGGATGCAGAGAAACACATTCCTGCTTACCCTTAATGCCACCCGGTGTACCACCTGCTGGGGATCACTCTCGAGGATCACCCTGCAAAAACAAAGAAGAGATCACTGTTCACTCTGTCCCGAATGCCCAACTCACTGTGGGGGAACAGGACCTCTGGCCGCTGAGCCTGCTTGACTTAGGACAGGGGCAGTTATCCCACTACCTCACCCAACATTAAGGCAGGTCAGAGAACTTACCCTCCATCTACAATTTCATCCACAGCCAAGAACAGCCCCTCCATGTTCTCCAGCAGTGCTCGCTTTTCTACATTTTTCCTGAGTCCCCAAGAGAAGAGAAGAAAAAAACCAAATTGTGTGTGAAAGAAATCCTAGGACCTTGTCTGAATTGAGGAACCTAAACTAGACCAATAAACATCTCCACCAACCACACAAAGAAGTAAATAAGGTGAAGAACTTTTTAGCTAGTTCACTCAAAACCCCTTTCTACTCTTGGTTGCTGAATAAGGAATGTATGGAAAGAGATTCAAATAATACAGTCAATTTCTGACTATTCAGGGGTTGATTATCCACAGCTATTGTTTCTTTCCTACCTGCCATGCTGCTGCTCATAACATTGCTCATAAACACTGACATCAGTGGGTGAAAAAAAATATAAACAGAGCTAAGACTCAATCTGGAGGTGGCCGGAGGTGGGAGGGGTTGAATGCAAACCTTATTTGCACTCAAGCTCTAACAAACCTCCTGAGACATTCTCTGTTCCCTCTTCTCCCTATCCCTTACCAGCTCTGCTCAGGCCCTGAAAAGAAGCCCAAAGAAGGGGCAGGGTCTGCATACACTAGCCTCAGATCCGGTGGTTGGTGCATGTGGCCTGTCACATCTGTCAGTTTGAGGCTTTCACTAGATTACCCGAAATGAAGTCTATTCATTCACCTGGATAAGAAATAAATCATCCCCTTCCTGAGGAAATCTGAGCCATTCACCCTGCTGAGTTTGCAGGGCTGAGAGTGCCTGCTGTTCTGGTCTGGATGGCTGTCTGTACTGGGTTCACTTGGGAGCTGCTGGGGGAATGAAGTTCAGAGCCCTGGATGTTTTCAGGAAAAGTAACTTACCTCTCTTCTATTACCCATCTACACGGTTAACAGAGGGCTAGTGGGGAAGTGGAAAGGGAGGAGAGGGTAAATGGCAGAAGCTTCCTGGTTTTTTTTTTGGTTTTTTGAGACAGGGTCTTGCTATGTCGCCTAGTCTGGAGTGCAGCAGCATGATCACAGCTCACTGCAGCCTCAACCTCCTGGGCTCAAGCAATCTTCCTACCTCAGCATCCTGAGTAGCTGAGACTACAGGTATGTACCACCACACCTGGCTAATTTTTTTATTTTTTGCAGAGACAGGGTCTCACTATGTTGCCCAGGCTTGTCTTGAACTCGACTTATGCAATCCTCCTGCCTGGGTGCTTCCTGTTCTATAGAAGGGAAAAAACAAGGACTAGAAGTGGGGGAAAAAAAAAAAAACTGGGCTACGTGGCTCATGCCTATAATCCCAGCACTTTGGGAGGCCAAGGTAGGTGGATCATTTGAGGTCAGGAGTTCAAGACCAGCCTGGCCAACATGGTAAAACCCCATCTCTACTAAAAATACAAAAATTAGCCAGGGGTGGTGGCGCATGCCTGTAATCCCAGCTACTCTACTCAGGAGGCTGAGGAGGAGAATCGCTTGAACCTGGGAGGCAGAGGTTGCAGTGAGCCGAGATCATGCTACTGCACTCTAGCCTGTGTGACGGAGTGAGACTCCATCTCAAAAAAAAAAAAAAGAAAGAAAGAAAAAAAATTGGGAGTGTTGCTTCCATTCCCGAAGTACTGAATGACATACTATCTGGGACACTTCCTTATGCTTGCCCTTTCCCTACTTCTAATGTCAAGAATGAAGCCCAGGAAAGCACCTTGAGGATGCTCAGATCTGACAGGGCCACAGGGGATTACAAGAGTAAACACAGAGGTAAAGATTCGGCTCCCTCCCAGTCCCCTTCCTTAGTAAGATCATTATTCCATAGGAGGGACATACTCTCCATCCAGTCCTCCCCAGTAGCATGAATTACTATGAATTAATAAAACCGACCCTCTTTTTTTTTTTTTT